GCTGGACGCGCAGAGAGGCCGCGGGCGGCTCTGCCCTGCGCACCCGCGTGCCAGCGAGGTGCGGGCAGGGAGGAGCTGCTGGAGCGAGCGGCAGAGCGGCAGCACCAGGGCTCTGCCCTCAGCGCCCACACACAGAGTGCCCAGGAGCAGGGGCTTGAAAAGCTGGATGTAGACCTTGGGGTCAGCCCTGTAGCCCTGGACAAGGTGGTCTGCAAGAGAGAAGCACAGCGGGAAGACACAGAGGCGCAGGGTGCGGGCTGGGGACCTGCGGGAAGACACAGAGGCGCAGGGTGCGGGCTGGGGACCCGGTGTGGGACACCGCCAGCCCAGCAGCCCTCGAGCAGGTGAGGGCCGGCAGGGCCCCCTGGCTCGGGAAGCGCCCGGCCGAGCGGCGGCCAGCCAGGGCAGCAGAGCCTACGGAGCGCGTCGTAGGCCGGCAGCACGTCGAAGTCGACAGACTGGGGCAGGCTCCTGGATCTCAGCTGGAAGCTCAGCACGCGGGGATTTGGCCAATGATTCACTTCAAACTCCACCTCGAAGTCCTCCTGCTGCTGGCACTGCAGCAGCCTTGGATGCAGCCCTGTGCCACATGCTGTATTTGACACTGCGTGTGCAGGGGGTTGGACTGCATGACCTCTAGACCTCCCTTCCAACCTTAAGCAGTCTATGATTCTATGGTGCCCTGGTTGTCCCACATACGCTGTGTGATCACCCATGGGGCAAGGAGGCCACGCGCTGAAGCTCCTCTCTCGTCTCTGCCCTGGACAAGCTGCTCAGTGGCCCTTGGCCCCTCTCGCACAGCAGTTGGTCCCTCCTTCCGGGCCGTGCAGTGAGAAAATAAAGGAGATGGAGAAACCCATAAGCTCCTCCTGACCTTCCTGCCATTTGACTTTCCTTTTGGAACTTCTGGAGATTGCTTAGGGATCCCATGGGGCTTCATCATCCCAGAGATAAGCGGCTCACTTATAAAGGCCTTGATGGGCTCTTGTGGGCTCGTGAGGGCTCATAGAAGCATTTAAGGGCTTCTACAGTCTCCTAAGGACTTGCACGGGTCCGTTCAAACTTGTAGAGGCCTCAACAGGCTCCTGTGCACTAGTACGTGCATGTTAGACGCCTTGAGGGCCTCCTGCAGGGATACCCGGGCCTATACAAGCTTGTAGGGGCCTCGACAGGCTGCTGTGAGCTCTCATGGGCCCCTACAAGCTTATAAAGGCCACGGTAGGCTCCTGCGCATGCAAGGGAGCCCATACAAGGTTATATAGGTATCCAGGGATTATGTGGAACACGCAGCCTTTCAAAAGACCTCCATGTGTTCCTGTGAGCTCGTAAGACCCCTTAGGGGTCTCTACAGACTCCTAAGGACACACACGGTCCCAAACAACTTGCAAAGGCTTTGAGAGGCTCCTGCAAACTGGTAGTCGGACTGACGATGGGCAGGAGAAGGTGCCAACAGCTCGGGCAGGGGGACGAGGAGGGGGGAGAGCTCAGAGCTCCTTAGAAGAGAGTGCAGGAGGATGCCTGCTCTGCTGCCTACGGTGCCCTGGGAAGGTGCTGGCAGGAAACGCTGGCTCCAGCCCAGGGGATGCTCTTGGTGCCAGGCTGGTCACAGTCTGCCCTGGGGCTGCCTCCCCCCACCTCCTGCCCCTGCATCTCCCTTCTGCTGCCCCAACAGAGCTCAGCTCCTTCCCTCCATCATCGCAGGCACCAAGGCACTGTGGGATAACGCTTGGCCTTGGAGCAGGGCCACTGTGCCTGTGTGCACCACGGGTTAGCCCCAGCTCCGGGCTCCCGGGGCAGCCTTGGTGCCTTCCACCCTTGTGCTGAGCTGGGCAGGTCCTCAGGCCTGCGTGTTGCCTGGAAGCATCTTGTCTTCCTGCTCCCTGCCTGGGGCTGAGTCATGGGGTGGAGCCACTGCTGGAATCGAAACCAGAAATCTTTGGGAGCTGGCGGAGCTGTTGGGCTGCACAGCTGCCGTCCCATCATTTGCAGCTGTGGCCATGGAGCTCTACAACACCCCGTCACGGCAGCTGGACAAGCTCATCCAGGAGGAGCTGCAGCCGGACAGCGCCTTCCTGGACCAGCTGAACAGGGCTGTGCACACCATCTGCGAGTTCCTGCGGGAGACGTGCTTCGCAGGGACACCTCCGCCCCAAACGCGGGTCCTGAAGATCATCAAGGTGAGCGAGACCCGGGGCTTGTGGACAACCCATGTGCCACCTGCCCCAGCCTCAGGCAGGACGGATTCCTTGTTGGGCACACGTGGGCAGTGCGCTCTGCAGCAGCAGGTTGATGGAGGTACCGCCAGTCCCACAAAGGGCTCTTCTTGGTGCTTCCACCACTGCTGGGCACCTGGGTCTCAACCAAGAGGCTTGCCCAGCCCCTCACTGCTAGGGGGAAAACGGGGATCGGGCACTCATTTCCCTGCTGGCCTGGGCTGAGAGAGCCCGTAGTGTCCCTGGCTACTGTGCAGCTCGGGGCCTGTGGACCCACAGCAATGCCAGCCCTGGCTCCGCTCCAGGCAAGGAGGAAGATTTTTCCAAGTGTCCTTTGGGGCTTCTTGTTTGCTGGAAGTCTCCGTTTTGTTCATGGAGAATAGCCAGGCACTTCAAGGACAGGTCGGTGGCTGCTCTGCAGCAGAAAGGCCTGCATCACTTGTTTTCATGGCCTGAAAGGCTGCTCAGGCACAGGGCATTCACAGAGCTGTAGGCAAGGGCTGCCAGATAGATAGGGCTGATGATGGGAGTGTCAGCATCTGAGGGTTTCAAGGCAGGTGTTTTCCAGGAAGTCATTTGCAGAATTGTTTTGTAACCCAGCATGTGGGAACTACAGATCTGTCAGCCTGACCTCGGTATCAGGGAAAGGTGTGGAACAGATCATCTTTGGGGCGATCACACGGGGGATCAGACCCAGCCTAGAGGGGTTCATGAAAGGCAGGTCCTGCCTCACCAACTGAGCTCCTCCTTCTATGGGCAGCTGACCCACTTAGTGGATGAGGGAAAGGCTGTGGACATACCCTACTCACACTGCAGTAAGCCCCCTGACACCAGCTCCCACTGCCTTCTCCTGGAGAAGCTGTCAGCTCATGACTTGGACGGGGCTCCTCTTTGCTGGATGAGGAACTGTCTGGAAGGGCAGGCCAAGAACCTGGTGATGAAGGGAGTTGAATCCACCTGGTGACCGCTCATGAGAGGTGTTGCCCAGGGGTCAGTGTTGGGGCCCGTCCTCTTTCGTAGCTTTATGGATGATCTGGGTGAGGGGATCGAGTGCCCCTTCAGCAAATTTGTAGAGGACGCCAAGTTGGGAAGAAGAGTTGATCTGCTTGAGGATAGGAAGGCTCTAGAGAGGGATCTGGACAGACTGGATCAATGCGTGGAGGCCACTTGTAGGGGGTTCAACAAGGCCAAGCGCCAGGTCCTGCACTTCGGTCACAACAGCCCCATGCAGCGCTGCAGGTCTGGGGCAGAGTGGCTGGAGAGCTGTGCAGCAGAACGGGCCTGCGGGTGCTGGTCAACAGCCGGCCGAACACCAGCCAGCAGCGTGCCCAGGTGGCCAGGAAGGCCAGCGCCTCCTGGCCGGTATCAGGAACAGGGTGGCCAGCAGGAGCAGGGAAGGCATCGTCCCCCTGTACTCGGCACTGGGGAGGTTGCACCACGAAACCTGAGTCCCATTTTGGGCCCCTTACTACAAGAAGGACATGGAGGTGCTGGAGCGTGTCCAAAGGAGGGCAAAGAGGCTGGTGCAGGGGCTGGAGGCCAGAGCTTGTGAGGAGCGGCTGAGGGAGCTGGGTTATTTAGTGTGGAGAGGAGGGGCTCAGGGGAGACCTTATCGCTCTCTACAGCTACCTGAAAGGAAGAAGCAATGAGGCGGAGGGGTCGATCTCTTCTCCAGAATGACTGTGGCTAGGACAAGAGGAAATGGCCCCAAGTTGGGCCAGGGGAGGTTCAGGTTATACATTTGCACAAATTTGTACATGGAAGGAGTGCTGAAGCATTGGAACCGACTGCCCGGGGAAGTGGTGTTATCATCATCCTGGCTGGTGTTCCATAAACGTGAGGATGAGGCACTTAGGGACATGGTTTAGCAGGATGGTGTTGAGGGACTCACAGCTGGACTCGACAATCTTGAAGGTCTTTCCCAACCATCAGGATTCTATGATTCTATTCTATGATTCTCTAAGATGCTGGACAGCAGGATGTCTTTCAGCCTGACAGAAGCTGTGGGGACAGAAGCCAGAGCTGGAGAAGTTCAGACAGGCTTTTCTGCTGCAGAGGACATGGACCGTGGAGCAGGAGCCCAGAGCTTGGCTGACCCTTAGGATGGCATTCAGAAGGGACACGTGATGTTTAGGGTCCCTCTGTGCGCCCAGGCTTGGCCCACAGGACTTGCCTGCATCTGCCAACTCCATCATAGGCTGTGTTCAAGCAGATGATGGGCAGCCAGCAGGAACTCTCCTGTTCCCTGCAGGGTGGATCTGCAGGCAAAGGCACAGCCCTTCGAAACACCTCTGATGCGGACCTCGTGATATTTCTGAGCTGCTTCGAGAACTATAAAGACCAGGAGAAAAACCGGGCTGAGATCATCCGTGAGATCCAGAGGAGGCTGCTGCAGTGCCAGCAGCAGGAGGACTTCGAGGTGGAGTTTGAAGTGAATCATTGGCCAAATCCCCGCGTGCTGAGCTTCCAGCTGAGATCCAGGAGCCTGCCCCAGTCTGTCGACTTCGACGTGCTGCCGGCCTACGACGCGCTCCGTAGGCTCTGCTGCCCTGGCTGGCCGCCGCTCGGCCGGGCGCTTCCCGAGCCAGGGGGCCCTGCCGGCCCTCACCTGCTCGAGGGCTGCTGGGCTGGCGGTGTCCCACACCGGGTCCCCAGCCCGCACCCTGCGCCTCTGTGTCTTCCCGCAGGTCCCCAGCCCGCACCCTGCGCCTCTGTGTCTTCCCGCTGTGCTTCTCTCTTGCAGACCACCTTGTCCAGGGCTACAGGGCTGACCCCAAGGTCTACATCCAGCTTTTCAAGCAGTGCACGCGGGGAGGGGAGTTCTCCACCTGCTTCACAGAGCTGCAGCGGAACTTCATCATTGGCCGCCCCACCAAGGTGAAGAGTCTGATCCGCCTGGTGAAGCACTGGTACAAGAAGGTGAGTGGGGTCAGGCCTCCCTGTGCGGGGCACCTGGAAAGCCAGGCTTCTTGCCCAGGGTTGGAAGGAGATGGAAGGGGCTGGGGATGGAGGGCAAGAGCTGCCAAAAAGTAGCTGCCGGGACTCGCAGCCCTGCCCAGGGCTGAGGAGCTCTGCATGCTGTCCACGGGCACACTCACCCCTCTGCCCCGTCCGCCTCAGTACGTCCGTAGACACAAGGGGGTTCTGCGCTCTGGTGAGACCCTACCACCACAGTACGCCCTGGAGCTGCTGGCGATCCACGCCTGGGAGCACGGCAGTGGGGACACCAAGTTCAGCATGGCCGAGGCCTTCCGCACCGTGCTGGAGCTGCTCCAGTGCTACAGGCATCTCTGCATCTACTGGACTGTCAACTATGACTTCGAGGACATGGAGCTGAGCTACTACCTCTCAAGACAGCTGAGCAAAAGCAGGTGGGTCTGCCCGGCCGTTTGCATGGCCATGCTCTGCCCAGCCCTCCTGCAGCCACCGCCTCTTGTGCATGTGCCCCCCTGGCCTTGTCCCCACATGGGGCTCCAGCGGGGCTCCACAGTCCCCATGTGCTGCCCACGTCAGGGCTGGGACCTCTGGGCTTGGGCTGAGGACGACGGGACCTCCCTGCTCGTGCAGGGCACAGGGTCTGTGACGGTACCAGGAAGGACCCTGTCCCAGCCAAGCTGTGACCAAGGCCACGCTGAGCCCTGCACATCTCCTGTCACTGCAGGCCTGTGATCCTCGACCCGGCCGACCCGACCAATGTGGTGGGTGCGGGGAGCCGCTGGGACCTGGTGGCTGAGGAGGCTGAAATTTGCTGCATGCAGCAGTGCTGCTTGTACGGCGACGGAAGGCCTGTGCAGCCCTGGGATGTGCCGGTGAGGCTGGAGCGCAAAATGCCAGGGAATGACACGGGGCTCGGATGGAGCACATGGGCATGGAGTGGGAGGCAACTAAGGCGCCGGGCGCTGCCCCTGCCCCTGGGCACCCTGTGTGTGGGCGCTGAGGGCAGAGCCCTGGTGCTGCCGCTCTGCCGCTCGCTCCAGCAGCTCCTCCCTGCCCGCACCTCGCTGGCATGCGGGTGCGCAGGGCAGAGCCGCCCGCGGCCTCTCTGCGCACCCAGCCGCTCTGCGCGGCGGCTGCCTCCCTGCCGCGGGCTGCGAGGGCTGCAGCGGCGCTGGGGCTGCGCGGGGCGCCCAGGCCAGCGAGCTCTCTGCTCACCCCCAGCCTCGCTCCCTGTTGCAGCTGGAGCAAGTGCCCTGGCAAAGCCGGGGTGTCCGCACGGGCAGCGCCTGCACCCTGCTTGCAGAGGAGTGCAGGCAGCCGCGGGCAGCGGGGCCACAGCCAGCGCCTCCCGGCAGCACCGTCCCCAGGGCCCCGCGTGCAGAGCAGCCGGCGGCCTCCTGCGCTCTGCTCTGAGGGGCTGCTCTGCAGCCTCCCCAGCTCTCCCGCCTCCTCGTCCCCCTGCCTGAGCTCCTGGCACCTTCTCCTGCCCCTTGCCAGCCCGGACCCTGCCGGCCTCTTCGCTCTGGGAAAATAAAGACCCATGGGATCCCTGAGTCGTCTCCAGAGGCTGCTGGCTCTCTTGGAAATACTTTGATTCTGCGTCAAGAAGGAGGAAACGCAGATGGGCAGGAAGGAGCAGAGCTGCTTATGGGTTTTCTCCTATTTTTTCTCAACACTCTCCAATGCAGGACAGGCCAGGCCAGGMCAGTGCAGGGCAGCACAGGGCAGGGCAGGACAGGGGGTCCTGGCCTTTCCTGGAGGGCCTGCACAGACTGTGCTGCTCACAGGCACGGCCGGCCCCTGTGTATGTCAACCTGCTGTGGGGCCAGCCTGGCCACGCTGC